TTTTAATTTTTTTTTTTTTTTTTTTTTTATTGAAGAAAAAATTTATAAAAATGTTTTTTAAAAATTTTCTTACAATTTTACGGTTATGTGATGACAAATTATGTCGGAGGTGTTTCCAGGTCCTCGTCAGCATTGAACACGGGTCAGTTTTTGTATAATCTGGTCCTGGCGAGTTAAACCCCTGTTCCGGAGGACATTCTAAAATATGAGAAAATTTAGTATTCTTCAACGGACTGAGAGGCGCCCGACTTAGCAACGGACTGAAGGTGCCAGACATATCGACTAATTGAATGTGTCTAGCCTAACTGAATTCGTTGGCACATAATGTAACATTGCATGCAGGGTCGGCCTTAAGCCACTGCAACCTATGCGGCCGCAGTGGGCCCCGCACTTTTGTTCTAATACAAAATCTTATTCTTCATTTATTATCCTTATCCCGACCGAGACTGGGCCCCTCGCCATCCGTTTCGCATAGGGCCCCGCAATGGTTAGGGCAGGCCCTGATTGCATGGTCAGATTCCTTTCTCTATTGTCTTTATTTTTTTTTTTTTTTTTTTTTTTTTTTTTTTTTTTTGTTGTTGTTGTTCGCGGAAAAAAGAAGGTGGGGGGGAGGAGCGAAAAGCTTTGCTCTGAAGTGTAGAGAAAGACGCTGTGGATAAGTGTAAATACTTTGACCATGCCTCTCCGTTTTATAACTGTATTCCGAAGAGCCACCGAGTAAAGAAAATAATTTGACGCAACCCCTCCACCAATGTTCCCTCTAAGGTTTGATGGTTCGTGTGCAAAATCATCAAGTTGTGTGCACATTTTTACTCCATCAATTTTTTTTTTTTTTTTTGCGCAAAATTTTCAGCCGACAGACACACACACTTAAGTGGAAATTAGCTGCGTGGTACCCAAAACTGCTGCACGGCGTCTGTGAGATTGCTGCGCGGAACATTGCTCCTAACTACCGCTAGCATTACAGTCAACATACATTTTATATAAGTTTTTGTTTTTTTTAATGTTATTTGTTGTTGTTTTTTCCCCCCACGTCATCTCAACTCGAACACAATTTTTCAGAGATCCATACGGCGCAACAGGCAGTACATTTGTAAATCTCGGGGTCAAGGGTCATGTCCGGTAGACAAGACTCATAGGAACCAGTGCAGGGCCTGTCGGTTGAAGAAATGCATGGAGGCTGGAATGAATAAAGATGGTGAGTACGAATGTGAGGTCGATTTGTTATAGTCCACATCAGATGTATCACTGGCACTGTCAATAAAATAATACCGTGATGGTCCACTTAAGATATACCAGTGACATTGTCAGTATAATTTTACTGTCACTTAATTATCATCACAGTAGGGCGTCTCAAGTTTTTGGACGTAAACATTTGACCAGTTTCTACCCCATTTTAAAGTGTAAGCCCAAATTATTATATTTTTTTAGTATTAATAAAGACGCTAGTTGATTGATCAGTCCGTTTAAAACAAATAAAATAAAAAGGAAACAAGATTTTGACGAATAATTTCTTAATTATAGAATCCTGTGCAACTCTAAAGAAAGTTTGTTCGGTTGATTTTAAAATTGTTTTTGTTTCTGATCATAATACACGACATAAATTCATAAGATATTCCAGTTGCTTAATGTCACATGCTAGTTTGCCTTTAGGGCAGTGGTTCTCAACCTTCCTATTGTCACGACCCTTAAATACATTTTCTCGTGTCGTGGCGACCCCCAGGAAGACAATTATTTTCGTTGCTACTTCATAACTGTAAGGATATGTTTTTTCAGATGGTCTTAGGCGACCCCGAGAAAGGGTCGCGCAACCCCCAAAGGGGTCGCGACCCCCAAAAGTTGAGAACCGCTGCTTTAGGGTTAGGACAATGGCAAAAGGTTGAAGATGAACAATTTCTGATTAATTTCTAATAACCAACTGACAGGCGATGGGATATACATGTTTAGAGGGGTTCATGTAGCAAAAGTGTAACGCCATCACTGAATGACTTTCGCCTGGTCCGCTCGGAGATTAGGGTGGCCATTTATAAAAGATAAGGCCCTATCATAAAATCACTGTCAAGCGCGATGGGCTTAAGTCGAGAGCAAAGTTTCCCCAGACCAGGTCTCCGTTTCATGTTAATCTAGACATGGACTTTCTAAGACTTTGTTTCGATGTGGACATTCGCCTGCTTTGTTCCTACATGGATATTCAATATCTCTGTAGCGACACGACAATTGGTATCTTTATACCGACATGACATTCGGTATCTATATCTGGACATGGACATTCGGCTGCTTTGTTCCTACATGGATATTCAATATCTCTGTAGCGACACGACAATTGGTATCTTTATACCGACATGACATTCGGTATCTATATCTCGACATGGACATTCGCCTGCTTTGTTCCTACGTGGATATTCAATATCTCTGTATCGACATGACAATGGGTATCTTTATACCGACATGACATTCGGTATCTATATCTCGACATGGACATTCGCCTGCTTTGTTCCTACATGGATATTCAATATCTCTGTATCGACATGACAATGGGTATCTTTATACCGACATGACATTCGGTATCTATATCTCGACATGGACATTCGCCTGCTTTGTTCCTACCTGGATATTCAATACCTCTTGATCGACATGACAATGGATATGTTTATACCGACATGAAATTGGTTACATATGTATCGACACAACAATGGGTACCTTTGAATCAACATGATATTTGTTATCTTTGAATCGACATGGCATTTGGTTTCTTTATAACGAGATGACGTTTTGTATCCACATATCTATATGACATGACATTAGTCCTTTGTATCCACATATCTATATGACATGACATTAGTCCTCTTTCCTTTAATTTTGTTCTGTCGTCTCAACCTATAATCCCACTCTTGTTTTAACCTATCCTTTCTTCTCTTTTTTCTAATTGTCCTCTGTCTCTCTTTATTTATTTCTAAACCCCCCCCCCCCGCGCCCTTTTCCCTCCCTTTGCCTCTCTGTTACTAACGATAACAGTTTCATTTAACCATAATCCTGATTATATTTCACTTGTGAGCATTTCATGCATAATGAAGCCGTTATTGAATTATTTTCAAAGTATTTAAACAAGACAGAAACAAAAGAGGGCGCGTGGTCACCATAGGAGCCCAAGAGGTCGTGAGGTTTACTGGCCATCAAATAGAGTATTAAATGATGACAATATCATAGAGTTTTCACTATCGCAATGAAGTAAGCAGCGTCTGCTGAAACCAATCAATGATTAGATCAAACGCTGAAACGGTATGCATGTCTGATGCAAACTGCTCTATTATTTACAGAGCTGATGATTCCTTACAACCTTATACTAGCGTCTGGTCAGCCAGCTCCCCCCCCCCTTTTCCCCTCCCCCACCACCTCCCACACTGCACGGGTGATATCTCTGTCTATTAGTATCTAAAGCCTGGCCAGGAAGTGCCCCCAACCCCCCCCCCCCCCACCACCAGATCTAGTCACTGGTCATGCAAAGAGGATTCTCTCAAACACAAACTCCAAGACAAGTACGAAAGAAGATTTACCGTTCTTAACTTACTTAGCAACGCTCATGCGCAGACCCACTTTTTCAAGTTGTGCGAAACCAAATTACTGGCCGCACTGAGACATTCTGACAGAGCTTTAGAAGGGACAGCTGGCTGTTAATCTTCAGTATTAAGACTCTTGATGTTCGTTTGACCTTGAGTTAAGGATATCCATTTATCAAATTATACTAGCCCTTCAANGGTCGGGTGTGGGGGCCGTGCTGAGGGAAATTCAGGATAAGGTTTGCTCATTTTTTTGTTGGATACAAACTAACGAAAAGTTGAGAAAGCAACACGAGACGGAGGCCTAACATATTAACCAATTACCCGCGGGCTTTGTGCACCCTCGGTCATGACTCGGGGTGCCGCAGTTTGCTCACTCTCGGCTTACACCGTGGCGGCACGTTCGCTTCCCCGGGCCGCGTGAGATCTCCGACAAATGAAGACGCGCATTTTCGCTTTTTTTTTCAAGGCGGGCAGACGAGAGAGCCATATGGGGGGTAACCCAAGGAGGACCAGGACCAATCAGATTTCCCCCCCCCTCTCCCCCTACGTTTAATCCGCTCAAATTAGCAGATCGCACAAGGCGATCTGATCCCCCCCCCCCATTCCCAACCTTACCAAACTTTTTGTCACTTCCTGTCGCGAGATTTCTCTGAAATGGGTATCAAGTTTCATTAAAAACACGTCAAAATTAAATGACAAAAGACAGGAAGGCGGAGCTAGCTCTCCTTCCTCGACATATGTGCTCAGTGTGTCATCTAGCGCACAAAGACGTTGGGGGGACACTCGCACAACACATGTATTTGTACAAGACACAAAAAGAATAATGAAATTGATTCATTAAATTTTTGATATGTTGATTTTTGATTTGGATAAAAAGATTTAATCCCATAAAAAAACATAACCTGTACAGCAATGGATATATACAGAATTTAAACAGAAAATACGATTGTCTTGACTTTGTCGGAACAAGATCACTTGATAGTTTTAAAATGTTCTATTGACCGTCGTCTTCTCTCAAATTTTATACATATTCACCCATACACATCTATGTTTGGCGACTGTCCATATATCCCTATTATTGGAGGCTGTGCTGTGGCCCCTGTACTACAGGCTGTACGTTACTTCTATCCGTGTTCCGGTATAAACCATCTCGTTGTGATAATAGATAAATTATAAATGTCTCGCTTTATAGTCTTTATTTATACGAGGGATAACTGAGGAGTAGCGGCATTTATAACCCTTCTTGAAGTTTTAAAAAAATAAACGCAACGCATATGAACGTTATTTAAAAAAAAAAAAGTATTTCTTTTCTTTAATTTTAACTCCGATCTTCCATCTTTTCACTCTTGTTTACCCGACCCCCTGCCACCTACCTCCCTTTTTTTATCTCTTCTCAGTCATTTTGCTCTTGATCCGCCCCTGTATATCACGAATGCAGTTAATTTACACAAAGAGAGAGTCTAACTATTTCATGCGCAATTTTTTTTACCAGGGGCTACGTCCAAATTTTTGTATAACAGAGTAGCTTGCCCTTGGCTTCCCCCCCCCCCCCTACTATTACCACGCAATTTTTTTTACCAGGGGCTACGTCCAAATTTTTGTATAACAGAGTAGCTTGCCCTTGGCTTCCCCCCCCCCCTACTATTACCACGTTGGGTTGGTTTCCAACAATCACGTTTGTCGTTTCTAAACTCGACTCCAGCAAGTTAAGTAAGGTTCATTAAAGCAGGCCGAAAGGTAAATTAACACACACACACAAAATAGAATTTATACTTTTACTCTTGAATGGTTTCTTGCCTCTCAATTCACGGTGACGTCATCCGAGCCATGTTCACTTAGCCAAGCCGTGACAACCACGTATGATATGAAAGCGGAAATGATATTCACCAGACCATTATGTTCTAGACTCTACCAAATTATTCCCCCCCCCCCCCCCNTATATATATATATATATATATATATATATATATATATACAAATATTCAAATATGCAATGCTGACAAATGTCCAGATTTATTTTTTTTTTAAAGAAAAAGACTAGGCATCTAATGTTAAAACATTCTGGTCCAGAATCCTTAACTAATATCTTATGTCCAGGTTTATAGAAAGTCACCCATACACATATATGTTTTGTGGCGGACCATATTTTATATACCTGTTTGATGTTTCATTCACAGCTGTCCAGATTTATACATATGATGAAATAGTATGTTCACAGCTGTCCATACTTAAATATATTATAACATCTTATGTTCACAGCTGTCCAGACTTAAATATATTATAAAATCTTATGTTCACAGCTGTCCAGACTTAAATATATCATAACATCTTACGTTCACAGCTGTCCAGCACGAGAGGGGTCCCAGGAATTCAACCATCAGACGCCAGGTGGCCATGTACCTAAAGGAGTCGTCAGAATACGGAAATGTCTTAGCGGGAGGACCATTTCGGTAAATAATAACTGCATTAGATGAGGAGAACAAATGTAAAAATGACATGACGAGTGGTCTAGGAATGAAAACATAAACAACGTGAACGATCAAGCGAAAGAAGAAGAAAAAAAAAAACAAGATTTTTTTTAACGGCTTGCATCATAATAAAGATTGTTTATTTGGTCTTATATGTTGTCGTTGGGCAATATTTTCCACTTTCTTTTGTATTCTCGACTGACATCCACAGATCTCCCTTCTTCCCATCATTTGTCACATACGAGCCGGTGGCGGACGGAGTCACGGTGTCCGCTGTGGAACCTCCTCCAGCCATCACCACCCCGCCCACCAGTCTCCTGATCCAGCCCTTGCCAAAGGTCAGTCACGCCACGATGTTATTGATTTTATACGGAAAAGTCTGAAACGTAAAAGAGTTCTGGAAAAAACACGTAGAGACGATCTAAAGCAGGGTTTCTCAATCTCAACCTTCCTAATTCCGCGACACCTTTATACAGTTCCTCATGTTGTGGTGACCGCCCCCCCTCCCCCCAACCATAAAATTATGTTCGTTGCTACTTCATAACTGTAGAGTATATGCGTTTTCCGAATGGTCTTATAAGGTCCCTAGGTTGAGAACCGCTGATTTAAAGAAACGGGCCGTAGGGGGACGAAAAAAGTTGATTATCAAAAAACTTTGCATGTGCAAAATCTCCCCTACCGTGTTGAGTTATTGAAGTCCTGCTGCAGGAGACATTTGAGGCAACGTCAATGCCAGTGCCAGTGCCAGTAGGCTTTCATACATTTTTAGTTTACACTACACAACTTTCTCTAGCACTACGGATAGAATATAGCTATGAAAGACGGACTCTGTCTCATGTATGCCAGTGTCATGATTTTGAATATGCGGTCAGTCGCCCCAATCATTTCGCGTCACACTTACATAAATTACATACTGCTCCGTCATAGAGGTCACATGGGCCTTTTAGAAGGGGGCGGAGAAAGTAAGAGGATAACCTATAGAAGGCACAGACCGTGGCGATTGGTTTGTAACAACGATTTACTTCCTGTGACCTTTCAGTACCCGCACGAGATGATCCAGAACTACGCCAACAACCCGGAGGCCATCTGCGAGGCGGCGGCGAGGCTTCTCTTCATGAGCGTCAAGTGGACCAAGACGGTGCCCGCATTCGTGACGCTGCCCTTCAGGGACCAAGTGCTGCTCCTGGAGGAGAGCTGGCGGGAGCTGTTTGTTCTCGGGGCCGCTCAGTTCCAGATTCCCCTCGAAGCGGGGCCTCTCCTGGCTGCTGCAGGTGAGTCAACGGCGCGTCTGAGCCGAACGGTCACGTGACCTTTGAGCGGCCCATACCACTTTCAGCGTTTGTTGTTTATTCAATTCAATTACAAATATTTTCTATTATTATTATTTATTTTTTTTAAAACCGAATCACAACTCTAGAAACCTTTAAAATATAACCAATGTTACATGCATCTTTAAATAACATTCACATCATTACAGATTTATTTACTTTTTAAAAATATTTTTTTTAAAAATAAAAATTTTAAATTACAATTAACGCGGTCCACAAACATCACATTATTTACAAGAAAATGGAAATACCCACTACCCGAGGACGTCACTGATATCGCACACTTCGTTCTCTCGCTCTTTTCATTTCGAACAGAGCACTTTGTAAGATTAATGCGCTACAGCCTAAGTTTTACCCCCAACCCATCTACTCCCAGGTGTGAACAGCGAGCAGAGCCCGCCTGAGAAAATAGTGACCATGATGAGTGAGGTACGGGCACTTCAGGAGACGATCGCAAAGTTCAAGGCTCTCCAGGTTGACCCGACAGAGTACATCTGCCTCAAAGGAATCGTCCTTTTCAAAACAGGTATAGTGTTCTTGTTAGTGTGTACCATTCTGTCGCCACTGCGTTATGGTTAGTGTGTACCGTTCTGTAGCCACTGCGTTATGGTTAGTGTGTACCGTTCTGTAGCCACTGCATTATGGTTAGTGTGTACCGTTCTGTACCCACTGCATTATGGTTAGTGTATACCGTTCTGTAGCCACTGCATTATGGCTAGTGTATACCGTTCTGTAGCCACTGCATTATGGTTAGTGTATACCGTTCTGTAGCCACTGCGTTATGGTTAGTGTATACTGTTCTGTAGCCACTGCGTTACGATTAGTGTGTACCATTCTGTAGCCACTGCATTATAGTTAGTGTGTACCATTCTATACCGACTGCCTTATGGTTAGTGTGTACCATTCTGTACCCACTGCCTTATGGTTAGTGTGTACCATTCTGTACCCACTGCCTTATGGTTAGTGTGTACCATTCTGTACCCACTGCCTTATGGTTAGTGTGTACCATTCTGTACCCACTGCCTTATGGTTAGTGTGTACCATTCTATACCCACTGCCTTATGGTTAGTGTGTACCATTCTATACCCACTGCCTTATGGTTAGTGTGTACCATTCTATACCCACTGCCTTATGGTTAGTGTGTACCATTCTAACACTTATAATTATTACTTTTCGTTTAAGATTTTCTTTCGTTTTGCTTCTGTTCGCAAACCTTCACCTGTATTTGGAATAATATCAAGTTCATTAAAAAAAAACAAAAAAAAAACATTAAAAAACTTATTCTTTCACGTGATCGAGCACGCAGACGAGCACGCAGACGAGCACGCAGACGAGCACGCAGACGCAGTCTCGGTGCCATGCTGCAACGCCCCTGGTTTCCTCAAACATCCCGTAACTTAATTGCTATCGCCGAACGCAGCGGATATGACGTCACTGCCTCAAGTAGAATGTTTTCAAAAAAACAACAAAAAAAACAAAATGGAAGCGTGATTGAGGGAGCCGCACACACAAATATTAATGCTCACCGCCACACAGCGGGCTTAACTGCCACACAGCGGGCTGAACTGCCACACGCCCGTTAAGTCATGTTGCATCGTTTTTTAAAAGAAATAATCAAACATTATTCTTTCTCTTGGCAGTATTCCCGAACAACTCCACGGAGATTAAGACTTTGAGAGAGTTCCACGCTGTGGCCAGTCTCCAGGATCAAGCTCAGCTGACACTGAATCACTACATCAGGACTGCCTATCCCACGCAGCCATTCAGGTAAGGGACTTGGATTCAAACTGATTTTTTTTTTTTTTTTTTGGTCCCCTTTGGTTGGTTCAGGTAGAGTTTAATAAATAGATTTGTGTTTGAAAGTTGGGTTGTTTGAGAAATGTTTGTGTATGGTAACTGCGGTAATTTTCGTATGTAAGATGGGTGCAGATGGTTGATCTGTTTGGTTCATAAACTATTGGCCCCTTGTTGCTGAGGTTGAATGAATGTTTTAATCCTGAGGCTATAGTTTGTGCTTGAGGTTGAAAGAATGCTTTAGCCATGAGGCTATAGTTTGTGCTTGAGGTGCCATGGGGCTATAGTTTGTGCTTGAGGTTGAATGACTGTTTTAGTCACGAGGCTATAGTTTGTGCTTGAGGTTGAATGAATGTTTTAGTCATGAGGCTATAGTTTGTGCTTGAGGTGCCATGAGGCTATAGTTTGTGCTTGAGGTGCCATGAGGCTATAGTTTGTGCTTGAGGTTGAATGAATGTTTTAGTCATGAGGCTATAGTTTGTGCTTGAGGTTGAATGAATGTTTTAGTCATGAGGCTATAGTTTGTGCTTGAGGTTGAATGAATGTTTTAGTCATGAGGCTATAGTTTGTGCTTGAGGTTGAATGAATGTTTTAGTCATGAGGCTATAGTTTGTGCTTGAGGTTGAATGAATGCTTTAGACAGGCTTTAGTTTGTGCTTGACGAACTACTGTTTTGTCCCGTCCTATAACCTCAAAAAAAGGGGGATTTAAGGGGGAGGGGGGGGGGTAAAAAAAACAGTACAATTACCAAAATCATCAGCTGTCTCGGGGATAATGTGAAGTTTATTCATATTCTCCATAATTTTTTTTTAAAATTGTTTTGTTTGTCCTTACGACCCTTGAAATAGACGAGTCAAGAGTTGTGTGCGACTGTGCCCTCGATTAGACTATATTATAAATACTAATTTCAAATTAAAAAATTATTCCCCGCGAATCCGAAATTATTTTGCTCGGCTACAAAAAAGATAATTTAAAAAATAACAATAATTTGGACCTTCTTACAGTATAACCAAAATCTCACTGTTTAAAATACCGGAGATGTCGTAATTTGAATCCAGTAACCTCTAACTCTCTCTCTCTCTCTCTCTCTCTCTTTTTACAGGTTCGGCAAGCTGCTGCTGCTTCTCCCCTCGCTCAGAGTGGTTAGCGGTGGCACCATCGAGGAGCTCTTCTTTAGGAAAACCATCGGCAACATTCCTATAGAGAGGCTACTGGTCGACATGTTTAAATCGGGGGACTTTTGAAACCGAAGCAGTTGTTTTATGATGATGAGCGATACACACAGAAAATGTGAAAAAGAGAATATCATATAACTGAATGGATTCCAAATATCTCTGCAAGGCACTCAACCGTTGTTTGACACTGCATTCCTTGTGATATCTTGCCACTTCTGGCGTCTCGAGTTCAGTCAGTGACTTACTATAGACATGAAATCCTTCCTGGATTCATCTGGTACTTACAGACTGCCCCATGGTATCAGAATGCGTGTGGGGTATTTTCAAATAGTTCCAGAAGGATGTGGCCATATTTTAAGCAGAAAAAAAAGACTCCAGATGACCTGTTATGACAGAAGTGCTGATAAAGACATTTTATTGGATTTCATAGACTGCACCACATGACAGGTTCACCGTTGTCTATTTGTCTGTGTCTGTATCAGAGTGTGGCACAAAGAAGACTAAAAAAAAAAAAAGCACCAATAAAAAGAAGTAGTCTCCAGCGGCCAACCATCCAAGACAATCTGAAGACTACAAATGCGGAAAGTGTTATTACTGCTAGAGGGTTAAAAGGATTTGAGAGTATGATTTCCGCCGAAAATGATCCTGTTTCAATGAACTTGTTGACAGCAACATTATGTTGTAATATTTGGTGTGGAATAATTTGTACCCCTACAGCTTCCTTGTCCAAATAAAACTCTCCCTTTTTTTTTGGTTTGGTTTAAAGGTGTGTATGTGTCTGTGTGTGTGTGCGTGCGTGTGCGTGTGTGTGTGTGTGTGTGTTAGGATAAGTTAAACCGTGAGTTATGGTTTGATCTTAATCCAAAGTTAATCGTACGGGGGCTAGTGCAGGCCTGTACAACATACGGCCCGCGGGCCACATGCGGCCCATCAGCACCCACGTGGCGGCCCGCGAAGTAACGAAATATTCTTTAATATTATTTTTTTCTTAATAACTTTTGCCCCTGTCCACAAGTTTTTCATAAAGTATTGCGGCCCGCCTTACAATTTGAGTTGTGCAGCTCTGGGCTAGGGGAAAGATGGGGCTAGGGGAATGACTGGGCTAGTGGAAAGATGGGGCTAGGGGAATGACTGGACTAGTGGAAAGATGGGGCTAGGGGAAAGATGGGGCTAGGGGAAAGATGGGGCTAGTGGAATGACTGGACTAGTGCAAGGATCGAGGTAGTGGAAAGATGGGGCTAGTGGAATGACTGGGCTAGTGGAAAGATCGAGGTAGTGGAAAGATCAAACTGAATCATTTGGTTGTTAAATCGGCTATACTCTGTTTCTTGTTTTTTACCCCCACATTTTCAAGTGTCCATCGATTGCACATTTCTCTCATATACCAACTGTGATTATTTTGTTCTTGTCTATACTTCAATGTGTTATAAATCACATTTGTGCCGGCATTTTGTCTACCACATTATGTGACACGAGACACCACCCCTGAAAAGGATCCACTTTCTGTGAATATAAAACCCATGCTTGACATGGGATGTATACATAATTTGCAGAATGAGGGGGAAAAAGTGTCGATCATTTTGCTCCTCAGTTTGCATGGTCTTACGTTTGTTTTTCTTGTTAAAAAAAAAAAAAAGTGTATTTGAACTTTGACCTTTTTAGCCCAAACACTGAAGCGTTTGAACTCCTATGGCTTTTGATGAAAGTAATGCTATTAAAATGTGTCTTCTTGTGATGAATTAAAAGTTATAGGCCCACATATCCCCTTTTTTGTTGTTGTTGCCTGAAATGAATACATGCTACAATAATATAAATATAATTTTATACACCTGCAGACAATGAAGAATTTGACGAATAAATGATAACTACAGTATTTTGTGTTTTTTTTTTTTTTTTTTCAGTCCTTTGCTCTCTATCTATATCAAGCACGAGTATTTCTAATTCGGCCCATTGGTTTAAATGATTTTTTTTTTTTAAAATTAAAAAAAAAAAAAAAATTATGCTTGTCTTTTAATTGTGTTTCTTATGTGACGAATTGTAAACAAAACGATACGGTGTAAATATTGTCAGATCTTTGATACATAATAGAATAAACGAAAGCATGCAGTAATGATGGATTGCTTGGTTTATTTGTTTTTTTGTTTTTTTGTTTTTTTTTTAAAATCATCCATTACTATAGAAATGTACGGGCACGACACCTTCTGATCGTCACATCGAGTGGTGTTTATTGAAACTCTTCTAAGGTGTTTCTGATGATAAAACCGAAAAAAAAAATTAAATGGAAAACACTTACTTTTTATGTGAAGCGAATGGTTTTATTCAAGCAAGTTCAAAGAATGGTTTTATTCAAGCAAGTTCAAATTAGCGAATGGTTTTATTCAAGCAAGTTCAAATTAGCGAATGGTTTTATTCAAGCAAGTCCAAATTAGCGACGAATGGTTTTATTCAAGCAAGTTCAAATTAGCGAATGGTTTTATTCAAGCAAGTTCAAATTAGCGAATGGTTTTATTCAAGCAAGTTCAAATTAGCGAATGGTTTTATTCAAGCAAGTTCAAATTAGTGACAAATGGTTTTATTCAAGCAAGTTCAAATTAGTGACAAATGGTTTTATTCAAGCAAGTTCAAATTAGTGACAAATGATTTTATTCAAGCAAGTTCAAATTAGTGACAAATGGTTTTATTCAAGCAAGTTCAAATTAGCGAATGGTTTTATTCAAGCAAGTTCAAATTAGCGAATGGTTTTATTCAAGCAAGTCCAAATTAGCGAATGGTTTTATTCAAGCAAGTTCAAATTAGTGACAAATGGTTTTATTCAAGCAAGTTCAAATTAGTGACAAATGGTTTTATTCAAGCAAGTTCAAATTAGTGACAAATGGTTTTATTCAAGCAAGTTCAAATTAGTGACAAATGATTTTATTCAAGCAAGTTCAAATTAGTGACAAATGGTTTTATTCAAGCAAGTTCAAATTAGCGAATGGTTTTATTCAAGCAAGTTCAAATTAGCGAATGGTTTTATTCAAGCAAGTTCAAATTAGCGAATGGTTTTATTCAAGCAAGTCCAAATTAGCGAATGGTTTTATTCAAGCAAGTTCAAATTAGTGAAGAATGGTTTTATTCAAGCAAGTTCAAATAAGCGAATGGTTTTATTCAAGCAAGTTCAAATTAGCGAATGGTTTTATTCAAGCAAGTTCAAATTAGTGAAGAATGGTTTTATTCAAGCAAGTCCAAATTAGCGAATGGTTTTATTCAAGCAAGTTCAAATTAGTGAAGAATGGTTTTATTCAAGCAAGTTCAAATAAGCGAATGGTTTTATTCAAGCAAGTTCAAATTAGCGAATGGTTTTATTCAAGCAAGTTCAAATTAGTGAAGAATGGTTTTATTCAAGCAAGTCCAAATTAGCGAATGGTTTTATTCAAGCAAGTTCAAATTAGTGAAGAATGGTTTTATTCAAGCAAGTTCAAATAAGCGAATGGTTTTATTCAAGCAAGTTCAAATTAACGAATGGTTTTATTCAAGCAAGTTCAAATAAGCGAATGGTTTTATTCAAGCAAGTTCAAATTAACGAATAGTTCTATTCAAGCAAGTTCAAATTAGCGAATTAAGTAAGCATTTGTGCTCTTCACGTATAAGCAGACCTGTTTACCGCTGGCTTACTGTCAGAGTGGTGTACAGACCTGTTTACCACTGGGTTAGTGTCAGGGTAGTGTACAGACCTGTTTACCCCTGGGTTAGTGTCAGCGTAGTTTACAGACCTCTTTAACTCTTTACTCATGAATAAGCGTCAGAGTGGTTTTTATATTTTTTTTACCCCTGGGTTAGTGTCAGTGTAGTTTTCAGACCTGTTTACTCCTGGATTAATGTCATGCAGTGTAGTTTTCAGACCTGTTTATCCCTGGGTTAGTGTCAGTGTAGTTTTCAGACCTGTTTATCCCTGGGTCAGTGTCAGTGTAGTTTTCAGCTCTCAGAAAGGTAGTTTTCAGCTCCAAAGTGTAGCTTTCTCTATTAGCGGGTGGGAGTGTTGGTGGTTTGCAATCCAAATACAAGTTGTGTCAAGACTCGAGGTGTCGTCCAGTACTCCCTGCAGGCCGGCCGTTAAGTCAGTTAACTCGGAAATCGTCTTTCATGGGCTTATATAGGTTTGGGGCTGGGCCGCGCTTTCACGGACAAGAGCATCGGCCCTGTCATTCTGCCATCCCCTCAACGTGTCCGGGGGACGAACTGCAAACAATTATTACCGTTTTTCGGCATGGATGCCGCCAACTGTCTCCAGAATGGAGTTTACCATTGCAGTCTCCGTGAGTCCCTTCCCCACGCTCTCGAGAGCAGAGCTTGAGTCGGTGAAGACTACAATGTCGGGAAAGCTTTTTTTCTCCCAGCTAGGACTTGGTGCACTCTCTGTAAGGGCTACGCAGTAGCGCTTCGAGTTCTGCTTCGAAGCTGGTTCTGCTCTTTCCCCTTTGGGCCCTGATGCCCCCCCCCCCCTTGGCTGGCGCTATTTCGTCTGGGTATTGGATAAGTGCACCGTGGCCACTGCGGCTTTACCTGGCAAAGCGTGAGTTGTCAGTGATGTCTTTTACCAAGCTGTCTGGGCAGGCATTACTCGTCCTTCCCTTAGTTCTGTTTGCGGGCTGGCCTTTGGGACCCCAGTGTCCGCCAAAGCGAAACGTATCTCAGGTAGGATTGAGCTTTCGTGGGGACCCCGTGGCGGGATCACCCTCACCTGTTCACTGCTTTTGGTTAAAGATAGATCTCCCTCGAGGTCGTCTACCGCGTCCCTAAAGGACAGCGGCGTAGCTAGGGATTGGGGGGGGGGCGGGGGACTTGGCCTCTTTAGGGGCCCTGCATTTTGACATTTGAAATTATTTAATGTAAAAAAAAATTCGGACTGAATATCTGATACCTCAAATATATTTTACTATATCTCGAGTATCTTTATAATGTTTCGTTCATAACAAAACTATATATATTTTTTTTTTCTTTCTTTTAACTGAGGCATCTAGCGTGTCATTTAAAATACAAGCTGTAAAAATATGGGAACTGAATATCTAAAAAAAATCAAGTCTATTAAACTTGGTTTTTTTCCTTTAAAGATCTCAGCACACATGTGATTATATGATCTTTTGTGTCTAGAAAGATCATGACACATAATGATTTTACCAATTCTGTATAGATACCTCACCACACAGATGATTAGATCCATCGTGTCTAGAAATCTCCTCATACACATTTGGAACTCTTTTTTTCCCACACACTTCTTGTACCACGCAAATCATCATCATCATCATCATCTCTATCAACATGTCCCTTAGTCCTTGGACCGTTGGGGCGCTACAGATGACATGAAAACTATCCTCCTCCATTCGTCTCTGTCTTCTGCACTTCGCACAGTATCGCCTAGTTTTAGTCCCGTCCACTCTTTGATGTTGTCTTGTTATCTTCTGCCTTCCTCTTCTTCTCCCCTCCTCTCTGTCTTCTGCACTTCGCACAGCATCGCCTAGATTTAATCCCGTCCACTCTTTGATATTATCTTGTTATCTTCTGTCTTCCTCTTCTTCTCCACTCCTCTCTGTCTTCTGCACTTCACACAGCATCGCCTAGTTTTAGTCCCGTCCACTCTTTAATGTTGTCTTGTTATCTTCTGTCTTCCTCTTCTTCTCCCTCCTCTCCGAGCAAATGACAACGAAAAAAAAATATGTTAAATGATTTTCAATAATCTAAAATATAATTAATTATGTTGGTTTGTGAATAAGTCAGTCATAGCATGTTTTTCCATCCCATGGACGGCGGCTGGAAAATGAGCCGCGAAGGGATTTTTTGTTGTTGGTTGCATGGGGTTTTTGTGTGTGTGTGGGGGGGGGGGAGGGGTCAACTGAAGAAATGGATTTGTACGATGAAGAGTAAATGGAGAGAAGCGCTATTTACCATACATTATTGCGAGAGAAATCCCTATTTACCATGCAGCAACTAGTGGACCCAACGCCAAGTGGCCGACAACGCCTAACATCAACGTCTGTCGCAGGTGTTGATTGAAAATCGATTGAGTCTGATTTCCAAGGCTCCTTCGGATTATCTTATCGAAGTTCGCCTTCGAATTTATTATATTTCGAACTTCAGCCCCCGGCATTAATATCATTGATATCAATTATATCATTTATATCTTTTATATCATTTATATCTTTTATATCATTTATATCAATTATATCATTTATATCTTTTATATCAATTATATCTTTTATATCAATTATATAATTTATATCTTTTATATCAATTATATCTTTTATATCAATTATATCATTTATATCAATTATATCATTTATATCTTTTATATCAATTATATCATTTATATCAATTATATCATGTATATCATTTATATCAATTATATCATGTATATCATTTATATCAATTATATCATTTATATCTTTTATATCAATTATATCATTTATATCTTTTATATCAATTATATCATTTATATCAATTTGATATAAATGATATACATGATATAATTGATATAAATGATATACATGATATAATTGATATAAATGATATACATGATATATTATATCATGTATATCATTTATATCAATTATATCATGTATATCATTTATATCAATTATATCATTTATATCTTTTATATCAATTATATCATTTATATCTTTTATATCAATTATATCATTTATATCTTTTATATCAATTATATCATTTATATCTTTTATATCAATTATATCTTTTATATCAATTATATAATTTATATCTTTTATATCAATTATATCTTTTATATCAATTATATCATTTATATCAATTATATCATTTATATCTTTTATATCAATTATATCATTTATATCA